CCCATGCCTAGCAGCAGAGCTGGACTGGGACAAAAAATCGGCCCGGGCATTTTGAGCCTAGTCCAGCCCACCAGGTATTGATGGAAAGACAATGAAGCCTATGAATGAAAACAAACTTTCTTGTGACACCGCTTGTACACTGTCTTGTTGGTGTATATGTACTTGTCTAATAAATTTAAACCTACACCATCCTCCCAGTCCCATTATTCTATACAGTACTTACTTAGAGGAACCCAAAAGGCTGCTTGGTCTAGTGAACCTCCTGAACAAAGAACGTATGATGGGATCCTGATAATTGGACAGTGAGGAATAGAGGTGAGACATGATCATTGATGAATACTAAAATGAATAAATGACAGATTTAATAATATTTTCATAGACTATGTACTCACCACATCAATAAACAGCACAGAAACACATAATACTTCCTCAAACATGGCAACCTTTAAAAAGTGAAGGGATATTTTAAATTGAATGGAAACATGCCCACAATAAAAACACAATACAGGTAATTATTGTCCACAAGAGTTTGCTGTTACATGTCAGTAAAAAAAAAACAATAAGATAAAAACACAACATATCTAGAATAAAGAGGATATTTATGTATAAAAGACAAATACATTTAAGTAGTTACTTTTAACTCCAAGCCACTTTTATGTTAATGAGCAGCATCACATCTCCTGGCAAATCCTAATTTGATTCAATCTAAAGTATATTTGCAAGTGGGTTTATGATGAATACTAGCCTCATCATTTGGTTTTACATGAACATTTTTGCTCTGTTGAGCTTTAGCTGTTTCAGAGTAAAGAATTACTGCATAGTGCACTTATATCAATTAATAGACATTGAAATATTTTACTACCTAACTAATAATGACTATACTTAACTAACTAAATGAATAAAATAAAGTTACTGAAGCACTAAGATCACCATCACTAGTATAACATCATAGAAACAGCCCAGCAGTAGAGAAACCCCGTCATGCTGCTCAACAGCCAGCTAAATTGTTAAATGGCCTACTCATAACTATGCTGTGTTAAGAGTTAGCAAGCACAACGAAAATAAACTATCAACCAAACTTGATTCATATCTGACCCAGGTAGACTGCTGTTCATCACTTCTTACCTGAAGTTCAAATTCCCCTCCAGTCGCACCGCCTGTGCCGTCGTCATATAATGCGGCGGCCGCGGGTCTCCTCCTCCTGCCTCCCCTTCACCTCATTACCTGCTGCGGCTGCTTTGGATGCCAGTGCGGGTGCGGTCACTGATGCTGCCGCTGAAGAAGCTCCGCCATAGCCAGCAAACATCTGTGTTATTTTAACACATTTGGCAGCATCTTCCTAAAGGGCTTGTCTCTTTTTCTCTCTTATTTTTTCCGCACCTCCTTTGAGTTTCTTCTCAATTTTGTCAATCTCCTCTCTCTCTGTATGATTGATTGACTGGCAGCCGAGGCCCAAGTGGGAGGGGGCATCGGCCCTCGGCTGTAATTGGTCCAGCCCAGAATCAATCATGACTAATGGGCTGATCTACCAGTTTTGTGTACCAATAGGTATCATGACATGACTATAAACAAAAAAAAAAAAGAAAAAAAGGCCCGGCCCAAAATTACCATCGGGCATACCGGGCAAATGCCTGGTATGCCCGATGGCCAGTCCAGCACTGCCTAGCAGCCATGAAAGAGCTAACCGTTTTTAGCATTTAGCTTCAAAGCTAGCACTAATGAAACACATCAAATTAAACTAGAGAAACTACTACTTGAACCTAAGTGAAACAGTTGTACATACAACACAATGGACACTATGCAAAAACAACTGTGATGAAAATGTTTGGTTTCTCACCTGAAAAACAGTTTTTTGGTTCTAGAACAGACAAATTTGGACTCAGAGACATGCGGCTTCACCAGTGAGCTCCAATTGTAAATGAGCATGGACTATGTTGATGATGTCACCACAGCTCGTTTCTAATTGGCCAAACTGAGAGTGTTACAACTATCCCTTTGTTACAACCATCCCCAGTCTCCCCTATGTTGTAGATTTCCCTTTGACAAGTCAGTGCTTTTAACCCTGTGTTGCATTTTGTTTGTAGCTCTGCTCTGATTCATTGTCTGAGTGCAATGCATGTGGAAACCCTGTTGCTGTTGTGATACTGTGTTAATGCCCTATATCAGAGGTGCTGAATAGTTTTCTTTGGTCTTTTTATTTAGCCGTGAGTATTGCTGTGTTGCACTTGAGGTGAATAGGTGGTGGCACCCCTGGGCACTCCTCGGTGTAGTCTGCCTCTCCACGAGTGGCCTCTGCTCACTGCCTCTAGTTTTGTTTGTTGGTATGTAGGTTGATTTGACTATTAATGCTTTTTCTTCTTTTCTCCCAGCAGCTCCAGTCCATTCTTAGATCCTCTTTTCTTCTTTAAATTCCATAAAACATTTGGTGTATTTTGACTTCATGTCTTTGTCCTTGTTTCAGTAACGAGTCTGTGTTCCCTATTCCTAATTTACAACTCAAAACTGAAAAAGTATTTCCTGTGTAATTCCCCCAGATGGCGTTATCGCTCCTCTTCCTACTTTTTCCACTTCTTGCCCCTCACCACATTAGAATAAAGGAGAGTGAAATATTCCTCTAATCTCACCTGACTTCTTTAAGTGAGTGAAACCAAATGTTTGTCAGAGATAATGAGCATTTTCAATCTCCTGTTGAGAAACAGGTGGGGTTAGATGGAATTCATGTTAATTCCAAACAATAACATGCAGTCAGGGACTCTGAAAACTACCTGGAACTACATTTATAAGGCTAATCAAACTAAAAATAAATGAAAATAAATGGAAAAAAAAATAAATAAATAAAATAAATGACATTGAAAAATTCCGAAATACTTTGAACATTGTTTATGTAGAAAAGGCTCTGGCAGCCTGCTAGTTAACGAACAAATTAATCACCATAGCAACCCCAGCCCAGGCACCACATGCCCTGCAGCAGACACTCTCATTCTGTCTCTCAGGCAGTCAGTGTGAAAGGACTGTACCGTTTGTCATGTGTGTAAATCACTTAAACTAAGTGACTGGTCATTTGCCTGTTATGTGGTTAGTCCCTTCTGTCTCCTAGGTCACATGTGAGCTTCTGAGTTTCAAGCTGAGCACCCATTCACACCTGGACACATCCAACCTCAAATGACACACATGACGGCTGGGTTGGTCAACGATTCACATGTGACCTCAGTGACTCTGTAAGGGTTCACACCCCCACAGAGCTGCTCTTAACCACTTTAAAAATGTTCTCTCACTTAAGAGAAGAAATCAGTGGGCATTAACAAAATAAGAACACATGGTGGATACGTATGAGGCCCACTGTTACAGCTCACAAAGCAAAGGTACAATCATCACATCAGTTTTGCAGAACACTATTTAATTGCAAAATGACCATAAATAACTTAAAGCAGGAAACTCATCTTCAAAAAAGGAAAAGTAAACATCAGTCAGTGCATCACTGCCACCAAAATTAATTTTCCCTGATTGATTTCATCACACTTTCCAGTATGTCCCATATTTACAGTGTGGATTAACAGTAACTGTAATGTCAAGTGCAAAATAAATATACATTGTTATTGCACTGTACTGTAACAACAAATGCCTTCATGCAAAATCAATACGATGACTACATGGAAATTAGAAAATACCGTGTAAAGGAGAATAAAATATAAAACCAGCTCTTTCATCTCATTGGCCAAACAAACTAGGCTAGGCTAATTTATACAATGTAAAATAACGTTAGCATGTTATATTTGTTTGGAAAACGTGTTTAATATAAGACAGTTGTTCTGTCAGTGAACCTTGTGAGTTGTAATGGGGCCAAATTTTGTAACATTACCTTTGTTAAATGTTGCTGTTGTCCCTGGTTTAATATGAGTAGAGGAAAAGTTTGCTAGCCGCTGGGCTAATTTATACAATGTAAAATGCCATAGGCTTGTGCTAATAACGCTAGCATGTTGTATTTGTGGGGAAAATGTGTCCAGATAAAGACAAGTGTTTGTCTGTGAATGCTGTGAGTTATAGTGAAGCTGATTTGTGTACTTGTGTTTGAAATTGTCTCTATTAAGCCATGTTTAATGTGTGTTTAATGTGTGTTTTTAATCAACTAAACTTTACAGCACTTCACAGAAACCCTGCTGACGACCACTGTTTTGGAGGTGTAACTGCAGAGTGACACAGAAACACCACTGCACAGGTGAAAATTAGCCTCGCGTCACCATGCTCTTCACGTACGGGTAAGAGCCTGGTTTCCATTCACTCTGAATTTTGTCTGGATTCTGGTTCCGGTCTAGAGAGCAGATCCGGAATTCACCAAATTCACCAAAGTAAAAGTGTTCACCAAAATAAAACTTTAAATTCTGGCGCACCATTGATTTACAATAAAAGAAAAAGGTTAACTTAATGGCTTGGGGCTTTTCTTGTAAATTATATTCTTTAAATTAAAAAGTTTCACTGCATTTTTATTAGCTTGGTGCTTTTATTTTGACGGAAAGGCGCATCCATCGAATTCCGGATCCTGTCTCTCTCACCCTGGTTCCGGTTCCTTACCAAAACGGCCACTAAGCGGCCCCAGACTAGGTGAAAATGCTCACAATGGCATGGGCCATGTGCGTAGGCTAGGGCGTAGAATGAATTACATGCAAAGCAGTGACAGATTACTGTATAGATTATTTCATGCTCTATTTTGAAAGTAATCTTTGCCATTCAAGGATCGAAAGAAACTCTGTACTTCATATTCATGAAGTTTACATTTATTTTAGTTCACACTGACACATAGATACTCACACACACACACACACACACGCTCAAAGGTTTTGCATAACTCAACACAAAGACACACACCTGCCCTTGGTTAAATAAGATAGACTTGACAAACTGCATTCCCAGAGATTTTGAAGACATAAAATCACACCGTATCCACCTCCTTTTGTTTCAGTCTGACAGTGTGACACCAGTGAACTCACATGTTCGATCCTTACTCATCTTAGTGGAGCATTAATATCCACAGTGATATAAGTGTACAGTATATCCTTCACAATCTCCTTGACTGTATACTTTAATGTATTAATCCCATCTTTTTTCATTTTCCAATGGGTTATGAGCAGTTTGCCAGGATTCTTTGGGTTAGCTTCATTGTGCAGGTCTCTGTCATGTTTGACCATCCTGTACTTTCCTGTCACCAAGTCAGGTCGAGAAATGGACATTCCACTGTAGATAATTCGCTTATACATATCGTCGTCCTCACCACCCCAGCCCCAGTAAGTGTTTGGGAAGCCATTAATCTTCAAGAACTGCTCCTTGGACAATGCAATAACCCCACCAAAGTAGTGGTCATAGGGTAAGTGGAAGTTGAATTTGTCCATAGCCACAGCCAAGTGTCTGGGACTGTCAAAACATCTGTAGAGGTTACGGTCATCCATAGGAACCAGATCTACGTCAGAGAAGACAAAGCACTCAAAATCATATTCCTTCAGTGCTTCAGCGTAGCCTGCATTCATCAGTTTGGCACGGTTGAACACTCCCTCTCCATCCTGGTTGATGACATACACTCTGTAGTCCGACTGTTGTCGCATCAAAATAGGATGGAGGTAATACAGCCAGTACTTAAGGTGCTCATGCCTATTTCTGAATGGGATGATGATCGCCACCTAAACAAATGCATTAAAGAGATATTTTGTAACTCTCTAAGTGGGGTTATATCAGGTACATATTTACAGTAGATTTCAGTAGACATAAGCAGGCAGGAGTACCACCACAGATGCTAAACAATGCACTGCTGTGTCGGCGGGGGCAGCAGCAACACCAATTTTGGCCATCTTAAAAAAGACCCACCTAAAAAAAAAAAAAAACAACCTGAATTAAACTCAATATCAGTTTAAGTGTACGTTATATTTACAGTATTTTCACCACTGAAAATACTGTAAATGTAGTGTATACTTAAACGGATATTGAGTTTAATTCAGGTTGGCCTTTTTTTAGGTGGCTAAAAATGTTTTGCTGCCAGCCCTGTTCACAGCAGTGCATTCTTAGTGTTCATGGCAGTACTCTTGTCTTCTCCAAACTAAGGGTATGCTGACCACCATCTACTTTAAGTAATACACTGACTATTGATAAGTACCTCGCACAACCCGACTACAAAAAAATCCAGACTATCCCTTTAAGGTTTTGGTGGTTTAATGTAATGTTATGATATACATTTATTCATTTGTCTCTCCATTCATTCACCTACCTTCTGTTGGCCGATACAGTCTGGTGGTTTGTACCGTCCTCCTTCCTGAAGAGGGGCACTGACCTCCTTTCTCACCTCATCCAAAGTCCAAGTTGAATTGAAGTCCACATGGAGTGGACCTACAAGATTTGGAGGGGTGTCAGGGCAGGTTCCCAAAGTCAGTGGCACCTGTGTCTCTTCTTGGCCTGCATTTGGAGCTTGAGTCATCAGTTTAACGTGTTCATTTATCCACTGAGAAAGTGTGTCGTCTCCATTTGGCATACGATGTGGCTTTGCAAAAAAAATTACAGTGTTTTTTTTGCTGAAGAATAGAAACACAACAAAATATAGCAAACTGACGAAAATAATAAAGGCCAGGATGTTAAAGAGTTTTTTCAGCATTTTTGCCTCCTTTGACGTTGAGTACTGCTCACTCAGCCGCTCTCATACAGCTCCTCTTCCTGAATCTCTCTTGGCAAATCAAGTATGTCCCAAGCAAGAGGGCAACCAGGCAAGTTTTATTTTCTTTGGGTGCAGCCTCCTTGGTATTGTAAGCTGTTCAGGTTGGGCCTCATACCTGTTGTGTTAATCATGATATTTAAGATTTGTTTCCTCATAGGTTTCCCAGACTCTAATCATTGATTGAATTAAAAGTGTACAATACAGATTTTAAAAGTTCAAGCTGATTTTCTTAATTGTATAATTGGGTAACTGGTAAGATATGAAAGTATCATGATTGGGTAGGGACATCCTTGAAAGGCTTAGCTGTTCAAAATGTAACATCCAAGTTCACTATTGTGTAACTACAGGTGAACTTCAATAATGAAGCCAACAGTCAGTGTGGGTCAAAATGCCATAACAGGCTTTTATTAAATTCAGGGTCCCTAACAGCAATATTATAAAAAACAAATAAAAATCAGAGCGTCTTGCTGCAGAGGGTGTGGCACACCAATCTATAGGCCAGTGTACTGGAAGTATGCTCTTTGTGGGTAACCAAGACTACACACAAAATAAACCCCTTTTCCAACATGAAAAACACCCAAACTACAACCAGTAACACCAAGCCTTAAATTATATCACCACAACTCAACGGATGAACTCCCACTGCACCAGTTGCTCCCCTGACTGGAGGCCAACACAACCAAACTTTGAAGGCCAAAGTGGAGAATGTGAACAGCAGTTGAACATGAGTCAGTCGATCCTAAAGGTGCGGACACACCAAACCGACATCAAAGAACTAGCTGTGACGAAAGCCAACTGTTGCCTCACTGTTGCATTTGAACACACTACACGGACTACATCCGACGGCCAAGTGGCACGTACGTTCTACGCCTGCGTGAGAGAGAGTGGAGTAACAGAGTGGTACATCCTGACAGCCGAGGGGTTTCCTATCTGTGCAGCCAAGCACCGCAGCACCTCCATGGACTATTACATTCAGACGGAGCCGGTGTTTCCTCCGCAGGCTCCACTTCACTCAGCTGCCCGATAAACCCGCTGCTTCTTCCCACTTTAACCTGAATAACAAACCAGGGCTCGGTGCTCCAGTTGGATCCAAACGGAGAGCCGGGGCTAGCTCAGAGACTAGCTGAGGCTAATAACTGGCTGTGCGTCCGTCCGTCATGCTGCGGCTAACGTTCCAGTAGCCACTCCCAGCTAGCTCCGGTTTGTTATTCAGGTTAAAGTGGAGCCTGAGGAGGAAGCACCAGTTAGCCCCGGTTTCACTACAGGCAGATTCACTCGCTACAGGGGCGAGGGTATAAAACCTAAACAGACAATCAGAGTGATCTCTTTCACCGACAAGCTCCGCCGCCGATTCAACATGCTCAATCGGCTGAAAAGCCGCCAACGCCAATGCCGAAGAGCTGACGGTGTGGGACACACCGCAAAAACTAGGCCGACAGATGCTCACCGATGGCCTGACTTTGGTCGACGGCCAACCATTGGCTTGGTGTGTCAGGGCCGTAAGAGATGGGCGAATGCCATTTGGAAGGGTGGGGCGATGGCCTACGTCGCCCCCGGCCGATCGAAAGGGAGTTGGGCTCAGATCCCCAAATCTGGAGTGGTGGAGATAGGCGCCGTGAGGCGTCCAGTGCGGTAACACAAACAATCCTGGAGAAGCTGGCGGGAGCCCCGGGGAGAGATCTCTTTTCTTTGTGAAGGGCAGGGTGCCCTCCGAAGTTGTTGAAATCTGGCGCTTAGGCAGACTGAGGGATTGAGGGATGGGTCTAACAACCACCAGCTATCACCCAGGAGAGCTGTGTTTGCGTCTCGTAAGATTATAAAGCCAAATCCTGCTGTTTTTTTCCTAAACCTAAGCATGTGTTTTCACTACCTAAACCAACCGTGTGTGTTACTAGTTGGAGGAAACGTCCTGTTAGAATGGAAGGGTATTTTGAAAGAAGACAATGCAAGAAACAGGCAGGCCTAGACACGACGTCCCAGAACGTTAACAACCAATGCACCCAGAGTACTTTTTATGTCATATCTGGATGTGGAAGGTCCATGATATGTCAATATGTGATGAGGCCGGAGTGAGAATGTGTTGCACAGATCGAGAATGAGGCTCACACACCTGTACTCCACGAGCCTCGTAACTGCTCAGGCATGAGTTTCCTCACTCTGTGAAATAGGCCAACAATGTAAGACAAACATTTCTCAAAGCACAACTGCGTGGAATTCACCATCTACAATCCATAATATCATCAAATGATTCAGAGAATCCAGAGAAATCTCTGCACATAAGAGGCAAGACTGAAAACCTACATTGAAAGTCTATGACCTTTGAGCCCTCAGGCAGCACTGCATTAAAAAACAACATGATTGTATTAAGGATGTCACCACGCAGGCATTGGAACACTTTGGACAACTTTTGTTGGTAAACCCGGTATGTTGCTGTATCTACAAATGCAAGATAAGACTGTATCCATGTAAAGTAAAAGCCATATATCAACATCCATCCATATCAAGCAACAGACAAGAAGGACCATTTTATGCTGTTAGTGGGTAATAGACAAATACTAGAGTCTGTTTACAGACATTGCTGCCACTAGGTCCTACTCTAGTCGTTACTTGTACTTTTTGTGTGCTTAAACCATGGCATGAGTTGGTTCAGTGCCATGTGAAGTAGCAACATGTTACAATAAGCAGGGGCCCTGAAACCAAATCCACTTAAGCCCCATTTCCACCGAGCAGTACGGTTCAGTTAGGTTAGGTACCACTGAAACTGTTCAGTACCGTCCTCATTTTTGGTCCCCTTTCTGCTGGGGTACCTAGCACACAGATCTGGTACTAAAAGGTGGAGCTGTGAACACTGCTGTCTGTTGATTGGTCGATAGAGGACGGTCACTCTGCTCTTAATTTGCTGGGCCCACTGCCGGTGACTTTTAAGGTGGAACGTTAACCTGTTACGTTACTCAATGCATGAGATGACGACGTAAATCAATCAGCACACCTTAAATTTCACTGTGACATCTTTGACCATCACTTTATTTTATTTTTTTTTATAGCATACACTTTTAGTAATGAGTGGATCTTCAAGCGTTTATATATATCAGTTTTAACCAGGACAGCATATATCCCAATCCTCATTTGGAGAAAAAAAAAGCGTTGAGTACCGTCGTTCCTGTGGGCTCCGGCAACACCAAACCCCTGAGCTTGCCTGAGAAGGACTAAATGCACAAACCCGCTATCTTTAAATATCCCATGAAGAGAGACTCTCACTGCAGCCTATTCTATTTTGTTCTGAAAATGTCAGCGTGCAGCCTCGTTCTGTGGACGATAAACTATAGGTGCAGACTTCCCTCTGTGTCACTGATAATGAGGAAATACAGTGAGTGCTGGACGGAGCAGTGAGTGACAACAACCCCGCCCACATTAAAGAGTACTGTTGGGGGTCTAGGTACCATGTCTGAAGGGTTACTTTTGGTTCCAAGGGTACTTTACCGAAGTCTTTGGTGGAAACGGGGCTTTGGGCCTCCAGAAGTCTGGGTCCAGCTCTGACCACAACCATAGGAGACTGCTGCAGCTCAGCAGCTTAACTCTCTGTATCACTGAAAACCAACAGAAACTAAATTTACAAGTCAGATAAAAGTCTGAGAAAATAAAAATAACATTTTCTTAGCATATCTGAGAGTACTTTTTATGTTACAGTGACAGTGCTGCTCTAAAATCTGACACGAATCTCTTCTGTGGATGCTTCTCCACAATTTCATTGAGCAAACGTACAACTTAAAGTAGTTTGTCACTCATTCACAGTGCACTCATCCTAAATTTCATTCAGTTTTGATGTTCACAGGCAAGCTCAGTGCTGGATCATAGTGGCCATACATTTTTATTTCAGTTCTTCTCAATTTTCTAAAACATCGTTACAACTTACAAAGCAAAGGAACAGTTTTTACATCAGTTTTGCTGAACACTATTTCATTCCAAGATAACCATAAATAACTTCAAGCAGTAAACCCAGCTTCAGAAAAGACTTCAACATCAACCAGTGCAGTGACACCTAAATGAATTTTCCCTGATTCATTTCATCACACATCCCAGTATGTTGCATATTTACAGTGGACGCTGACAGTTGTTATTGCATTGTACTGTAAATACATTCAGAATAACTGTGAGAAGGAAAACACTGTTGTTTGTCCTTAGTGCCATCTATTCCATATGTGCCCTTACAATACATAACAATTAAGGTGGGATGTAAAATGTCTTTTGAGTCAATCTGTCCCAACCACATCTTCCCTTGGTCATTTTCAGACTGTTGCTGTGTCTGAATCTATCACCAAGAGTAGCTCAATGCATCACATGTGAAGGTAGTTGTGATTATACATTTGAGTTATGTGTGAAAGCTATGATGGATTACTATTTAGATACGGAGTAATGGTTGACATTCAAGGACTGAAAGAAACTTCATACTCATAAAGTTCACATTTACTTTAGTTCACCTGGACAGACACACACAGGTCAACACCAAGACAAACTGGATTCCCAGAGATTTTAAGGACACAAAATCACACCAGTTCCACCTCCTTTTGTTTCAGTCTGACACTGTGACACCGATGAATCAATAGTCAAAAGCAGATCCACAGGTTCCATCCTCATTCAGCTCGGTGGAGCATTAATATCCACATTGATGTAAGTGAACAGTTTATCCTTTATGATCTCCTTGACTGTATACTTTAATGAATTAATTCCATCTTCATTCATGCTCCAGTGGGTTTGCTTCAGTTTGACAAGATTCTTTGGGTTGAGTTCATTGTGCAAGTCTCTGTCATGTTTGATCATCCTGTACTTTCCTGTCACCATGTCAGGTCGGGAAATGGACATTCCATGGTGGTAAATTCGCTTATACATATCGTCGTCCTCACCACCCCAGCCCCAGTAAGTGTTCGAGAAGCCGTTAATCTTAAAGAACTGCTCCTTGGACAATGCATTAACCCCACCAAAGATGGTTTTATAGGGTAACTTGAAGTTGAATTTATCTACAGCCACAGACAAGTGTCGGGGACTGTCAAAACATCTGTAGAGGTTACGGTCATCCATAGGAACCAGATCTACGTCAGAGAAGACAAAACAGTCAAAATCATATTCCTTCAGTGCTTCGACAAAGCCTGCGTTCATCAGTTTAGCCTTGTTGAACACTCCCTTTCCATCCTGGTTGATGACATACACTCTGTAGTCCGACTGCTGTCGAATCAAAATAGGATGGAGGTAATACAGCCAGTGCTTAAGGTGCTCATGCCAATTTCTGAATGGGATGATGATCGCCACCTAAACAAATGAAATACATAAGTTTGCTTTCACATAATATTTAGAGAACCATTAAAGAGGTAGTACAAATCTGTGAAGTGGGATTGTACAAGGTACTTATTGACAGTACATAGCAGTAGGCACGACCCCAATTTGGTGAAGTAATGCCATGGCAGCTAAGCAAAAACAACATTTAGCCACCTTAAAAAAGGGCCATCTGAGAACATGTTAAGACATAAGGAATATTTTCACCACCAGACAGCCCTTTTTGGGAAATAACGTGTTATTTTTGCTCTCTTCAACACCACCACACTCCTTCGACAAGAACACAGTTTTACCTCAGAGAACAAGAAAGTTGCTGGCACACAAAAACAAACTAACTAACTCATTGGGGTAGCAGTAGAGCAGCAACTCCTTGTTCTAAGAAGTAAAATTATTGCTTTTATCAACAGAGTCTGGTGGCTTCAGTTCCCCATTGGAAAAGGTTGCCTGGGTGGCAAGGTGAAGTTTTTTATGTAATTTTTTTCCTCTAGGTAGCTAAAATAAGTTTTTGCATTGCTTAGCTTCCTGCTTGCTTCTCAAAACTAGTGGTGTGCCGACCACCATGTGCTATCGGTAATACACTGACTATGGATAAGTACTTTGTACAAGTCCAAACGATCCCTTTAAGGGGACCTTGAACCTTTACCAGTTTTTACACTCTTTTTAAAAACAGATTCCCGGAATCAAAGATCAGTCATTCTGTTCATTTATTAATTTGTCTGTCCATTCATTCACCTACCTTCTGCTGGGCAATACAGTCTGGTGGTTTGTACCGTCCTCCTTCCTGAAGAGAAGTGAGCTCCTTTCTGACCTCATCAAAAGTCCGTGCAAAATTGAACTCCACATGGATTACACCCACAAGATTTGGAGGTGTGTCAGGGCAGGGTCCCAGAGTCTCATTTGTAGTGGGTGGCATCTGTGTCTTTTCTTGGCCAGCATTTGGAGCTTTAGTCTTCAGCTGAGCAAGTTTATTTATCCACTGGGAAAGTGTGTTGTTTCCATTTGCCATACGTTGTGGCTTTTGAAAAACACACAAAGTGCTGTCTTTGCTGTAGACTGAAAGCACAACAAAACATGCCACACTGAGAAAAGTAAAAAGCACCAGGATGTTGAAGAGCTTCGTCACCATTTTTGTTGCCCCTGACACTGAACACTGTCCACTCATATTCTCTCTTACACCTCTGCTACCTGCACCTCTCTCGGCAGTTGTGCTCCAAGAAAAAGAGCGAGCAGTTTTTATTTACTCACCTGCACCTTCCTTGTTTACGTAGGTGGGCCTAATGCCTGTTGTGTGTGGGTCTGTCTCTTAAAATGTCTGCAAATGTTCCTCTCCAGGATACAAAGTGACATCAGCATGGTGGAGGAGGAGCAGGTGGAGAAAGAGGAACAGAAGGGGAAGGCCTTTGGGATTGGCAGTTGTGCACAGGTGAGGTAGGGGGAGAAGCTGGTGGTGTGGAGCTGGTGGAGTCACGGGAATAGTGTCACGACCCGAGGATATAAGAGATACAAGCTCTGTGAACATTTTCAAATGGCAATTGAAAACGTATTTATTCAACATTGCTTCACTATTCCCTGGTTTTTATCCCCATCCTTCATATTTTTTATCTGCTTCCATGCATTCCGCTGTTTTACTTTTATCTTTTACATATTATATTGTTCTTGGTTTCATTGTGCAGGATTTGCACTTGTTTTTTGTTGTTGTTGTTGTTGTTGTTGTTGTTTTAATTGTATTTGTCTGTTTTTATTTTGTTGTAAAGCACTTTGAGCTACACCTCCCTGTATGAAAGGTGCTATATAAATAAAGTTTATTATTATTATTACTATTAATAATTGTTGTCATTGGAGCCCAGGGTTCTGCAGCGGCTAGTGCAAAATCGGCCCACACCTGAACTCAGTCCCATTTATAGAGGCTCTCATTAAGCCAGGCTCATCTCCCTTCCTGCTCCTCCTCAGAGAGCTCCTCCTCCAGGCCTTCAAATATGATTTTCATATTTTACTCCTGTTAGGAGTGTCAGAAAGTGGCATAGAGTTCTCCTCTGGCATGACAGATAATGCAGTCTGTTTCAAGAACTTTATCATTTGAACCAGGTTGGAGACAAATGACCATTCCTAGGACACAAAGGACCCTGGCAGCGGAGAGTCAATTACCATGACGATGGTGGAAATCGCAAAGTTAGGAGTGCTGTGAACCATGTCTGCCTTGGCTGAAGGGTAGGAAGGAAGTATTGATATACTGGCTCCAGAACTGATTGTGGCGCCATCTTTGGTCAGACAGGATTTCTTGTCACTGAATACAGCTTGCAGAAGGGATGCACCCAGCTGCCCCGCGAGAACAAGGCTGGGGGTGACTGGATCAGGGTCGATAGGTGGAGCAGTTCTTGAGTATGAGCAGGATACAGGACTGAAGGGCAGAGCAGATTTGGAGGGTGACCAAGAGCCACTATGGAGGACGACCTGGAGGTCTGCAACATATGCAGGACTGCTCTGGAAGTCAGAGATGGGAACCCCTTGGAGGACCTCTCTGGAGGATGATAGGGAAAATGGCAACCGGACCCCTCTGGAAGATGGCCCAGAGGTTGGCGAAGTAAACAGGACCCTTAAGAGGATGGGAACAGAGACATGACCAATCTGGAGTATGGCCACAGAGACAAGGGCCCTCTCAAACACAGCCATGAAGACAGTTTGGGGACTGAAAGTCAGGAAAGGCAGCCAGTGACGAACTACCTGGCTGCAGGTCGGACGCATGGAGGGTTGAGCATGGAGCCAGCAACACGACAGTAGGGCAGGACATTGGCGAAAGTTCTGGAAGTTCTAGTTGGCCAATGTTTTTTTACCAATAAAGAAGGCAACTAGATCTGCTAACTATAAAGAGGTGGTATGGTAAATAATGTTTGTTAGTGATGTTCCAATTTGCAGTCATGATTTCACGAGCAAATGCACAAATTAAAGTAATTCCTAACTCATTCACAGGGTTTTCACCATAAATCTTATTTTTGTTGGTCATGGGCTGAACCATAGTGGCTGTACATTCTACTACAGGTCCTCTCAATTTTCTAAAACACTTTCTCTAAGGTGTCTCTTATATTTTTTCTGAAAAGAGAAAGAGAGACTGTCAACTCCAGATGCACCAAACCTTATTGCTCTTACTCAGGTGTACTGAATGATGATTACTTGATCATAAGTCACCTATTAGCATCGGTAACGCCCCCTAAACATTTTATCAGGGCAGTTGTTGTGCTGTGTGCAGAGACTGTGGCACCTGCCAAAGAATTGGAGAGGTGCCACCAAAAAAAGGAAGAAGAAGAGTAAGTTCTGCAGTCATGATATCTACATTCTGTTAAACAAAGTGAACATGTGAGTTTCAAAAACGTCAGTACAGGTGGTACAGGAAAATAAAACCCAGCAATGGTACATGTGCCATATCAGCAGCAGACGTGGAGGAAGTATTCAGAACCAAGACTGCACTGTAAATGTAAGTACAGTCAGGAGATGCATTTAAGCATTGAAAGTAAAAGTACTCAGTGCAGAAATCAAATCAATAAATCAAAAGAATTAAACCTATTTTTGCGGCCCACTGTTATAGCTCACAAAGCAAAGGTGCAATCATCACATCAGTTCTGCAGAACACTATCTAACTTCAAAATGACCATAAATAACTTAAAGCAGTAAACCCTTCTTCAAAAAGGAAAAGTAAACACCAGTACAGTCAATACAATGTCTTCATGACAATAGAGACATATAAATGAGAGACAAAATATAAAACCCCCTTTTCACCTCACTGGCCAGCCAAACGCTGTGGTCTGGTGTCTGTGTCATCCACTCCACATGTGATCAATGTCCTCCCAATACATGCAAATCAACTGGATTTAACAATCCTGAGGATGTCTCTTATATCCTCCTGTCCAAACCACATCTTTCCATCTTCATGAGCTGTTGTTACGTCTGAATCCATCAGTGTAGCTCGATGCATCACGTGTTCATTTAAAGGTAATTGTGCTTATTGAATCATGTGTGAAGCAATGAGAGATCACTGTATAGAGTATTTCATGCTCGATTTTGGAAGTAACAATTGTCATTCAAGGACTGAAGTACTTCATATTCATATAGTTTACATTTACTTTAGTTGACATTTACACACACAAAGGTTTGCATTAGACCTAACAAACTACATTTTCAGATATTTTAAAAACATAAAAATCACACCAGTTCTACCGCCTTTTGTTTCAGTCTGACACTGTGACACCAGTGTGTCAGTCCAGCAGATCCACAGGTTCTGTCTTCATTCAGCTTGGTGGAAGCCCAACATCCACAGTGATATAAGTGTACAGCTTATTCTTCACAATCTCCTTGACTGTGTACTTTAAGGAATTAATCCCATCTTCATTCATGGTCACATGAGTTCTGCTTAGTTTGCCAGGATTTTGTGGGTTAGGTTTGTTGTGCAGGTCTCTCTTATGTTTGATCATCCTGTACTTTCCTGTCACCATGTCAGGTCGGGAAATGGACATTCCATGGTGGTAAATTCGCTTATACATATCGTCATCCTCACCACCCCAGCCCCAGTAAGTGTTCGAGAAACCGTTAACCTTCAAGAAGTGCTCCTTGGACAATGCAATAACCCCACCAAAGATGGTTGAATAGGGTAACTCAAAGTTGAATTTATCTACAGCCACAGCCAAGTGTCGGGGCTTGTCAAAACATCTGTAGAGGTTACGGTCATCCATAGGAATCAGATCTACATCAGAGAAGACAAAGCACTCAAAATCATATTCCTTCAGTGCTTCGACAAAGCCTGCGTTCATCAGTTTAGCCTTGTTGAATATTTCCTCTCCATCCTGGTTGATGACATACACTCTGTAGTCCGACTGCTGTCGAATCAAAATAGGATGGAGGTAATACAGCCAGTGCTTAAGGTGCTCATGCCAATTTCTGAATGGGATGATGATCGCCACCTGAACGAGTGAAATTAGAAAGTTTACTTTCACATAAAATGTAGAGTGTCATTCAAAGGACAGATTTTTTGATGTGGGTTTGTATGAGGTGCTTATCCATAGACAGTGTATTATCTACAGTGGATGTTGGTTGGCACCCCCCCACTTTAGAGAAGCAGACAGGAGTACTGTCATGGAGGCAAGGCAATGTACTGCTGTGGATGGGGCTGACAGCAAAACAGTTTTTATCCACCTTTAAGAAAGACCCACACCAAAAAATCTATATCAGTTTAATTGTACAGTATCATTAGAATATTTTCACCACTTTACCTTTCTGTCAGACAGCCCTTTCCAACAGGGAACTCAAGCCATTATCTCCATCTACGCTCTCTTTACAGCCACCACACTCATATGACAACAACAGTAATTTTACCTGGCAGAACATAGGAGTTATTATGTGACTTTGGTGGCAAGGTAAAGTGGTGACAATATTCTAAATATAGTAGCCACAGACTACCGTTACATACTTTCAAATGTTCGAATCGCTCCGCTTAATCCTGATAATAACTCCCATTACATGTAAATGTCTTTCCTAAGCCATGTACCAAAATGGCAGCTATGTCAGGCTCTTTAAACATTTAGGGCTGACTAATAGCTATTTAGTTTCTACTGGTGGAAATGACAGGTCAAATTATCATCAGAAATTTAGTAATTCCTTTTTTAGTAGTAAGAATAATGATTACAGATATCTACAATTGAATTACCACATGTTGAAAAAGGATTGGGACAAGTGGAAATGTAATTTCGAACCCTTTTCAGATATGAAAAATTGCATTTACAATATGTCTGACATAGCAACAAACGTCGATACATGACAAGGTCGGCGTGAGAATCTGTTGCAACAAACAGTTTTGGATATGCAGGCATCATATCATTGAAGTAGCCCACTACAAAGACATTGGTCAGCTTTTAAATGAGCATATTGAGTTTGGATGTGTAGCCTAAATTAGAATTATCATTTCAGATATCAAGCCCAAACAAGCACATTCATGTTGGATATGTGCATATATAATTAAAGTATAATCCATAATGACATTTTGACATTCCCTTTTTGATATCTAAAGTTCAATTAGCACTATCGCCGCACAGCAAGAGGGTTCCTGGTTCAATCCCAGGAGGGAGCCCTTCTTTGCGGAGTTTGCATGTCCTCCCCATGTCAGCGTGGGTTTTCTCTGAGTACTCCAGCTTCCTCCCACAGTCCAAAGACATGCAGGTTAATTGGTGACTCTAAATTGTCCGTAGGTGTGAATGTGAGTGTGAATGGTTGTCTGTCTCTATGTGTCAGCCCTGTGATAGACCTGTCCAGGGTGCAACCCGCCTCTCGCCCAATGTCAGCTGGGATAGGCTCCAGCCCCCCCGCGACCCTCAAGAGGATAAGCTGTGACAGGATGGATGGATGGATAGATGGATGGATGGATGGTTACAATTGTATTTCAGATATTTGAAATGTAATTCTAGATATCTTAAATGCAATTTTAGATGTCCAAAATTACATTCTTAGTAGTTTCATCCCAAGCTGACGTAGCAAAAATTTCATTTTGACCAGTCAGACTTGAATTTTAGATATGTAGAATTATATTTATGATACCTGTAATGTTTAATAAATGAACACTGACACTTGTAAAGGTTTAGTGTTGATATTAATAATTATTTTTTCACAAGTGAGAAATTTGCAACCTGTCAAAATTACATTATGGGTATGTTGACTATCGTATTAATATGTCATTACTGCCTGTAGTGCTTTTAAAAATTGTATGTACTTTTATACTGCATCAACTTTGTGTCAAGTTTTAGCACTGTAACACACTTTTGATGATCATTACACTCTTGTGACTAAAAAATCATGTTAAAATCATTTCTTGTTGATGTGTTCAAATAAGTCTTTTAAAGTGTATGCCATGTTTTCTTTTTATTTTTTGTGTCAGATTTATTTTTTGTTTGTTTATTTTATTTTAGCTAGCCATCTTGGCTAAGGGACTACAGATGAAAAATAGCCTTTTAGCTAATACTGGCATTTTTATTCCAATGTGTATTTATTAATCTGCTGCTGTCTCTTCTTAAATAAACTAAACTAAAAAAAAAAAAACTCATCAAAATTAGATTATCTGTGACTGAGTTTAAAGAGAGGTCAGCGGTAAAAGTTGTGTCATGTTTTGATTAAGTCACAGATCCATACACTAATAAATCATCTCAGTACAGCCAGCCTGACTTAAGCAACATCCCATCATTAAGCCGAATAGCTTACAGTAACAACGAACAAGTTTGTCGGGCGTAGCATCATAAATAGAAAAGAGTGAACTCCTACTGGCAGTGAGGCGGATACTCCTGTAGGGCAGGACCCTGGAGAAAGGGCTTTTGTAGTGTGTGTGTGTGTGTGTGTGTGTGTGTGTGTATATATGTGCATGTCCTGCATGTAATATACATACTTTTAACTCTGTGTAAATTTGAGGAGGGTTTTTGTTTGTATGGCAAATAGGAGAGACACCATAGCAGCAGAAGTGGACGAAGTATCCTATGTGGTGACGTAAAAGTGGCAAAAGCACCCTGCATTTAAAGTGAAAGCATGAAAGTATGACCATCACACTACACTTAAAGTAAGTAATGTAAAGGTATCCATGCAGAATGGCCCGTTTCAAAATAATATAGATTATATTACTGGATTAAAATGATGCATTAATGTGTTCATCACATCGGGCTAATTTTATTTACTTTATATACTGCTAGGTAGCTTGTAATTTCCCCTGGGGGTCAGTACAGTTGTATTTTAAGCTATATTACACCCTGATTTATTTGTTGAATATTCTTTTTTTTTTTTTTTAACTCAGTCTGTTGAGTAACTATAAATGATTAAATAACGTATTAGAGTAAAAACTTCAATATTTCCCTCTGAGATGCAGCGAAGTAGATGCATGGAGTAGCAGGAAATGGAAACAGGTGAAGTTCAAGTGTCTAATTAGCACATAAGTACAGTACTTGAGTTAATGTACTTGGTGACATTCCACCACTGCATAGCAGCTGTGGGTGGATCTGAGAAGTAAGAGGAGAGGAGAGGAGAGGAGAGGAGAGGAGAGCGCACTTAGCCCAATTGCTGGAACTAAACATGGCCTACTTTGTAGTTTTATATTTTATTTATTCAGAGATCAGTGTAAAGATCTGTTGGTTTGAGTGGTTATTTATTTTGTAGACAACTGCAGCACACAGTGTGGTTTTGTTTTATTTGTTTTGATACATGTAGATGAACTAGTTTAACTACATTTAACAGTAACTTGCTGACAGTTCATCTCACATTTGCATAGTGATTCAAGTAGTAAACATGCTCCTTTAAAAAAAAAAATTCTGTAGGTAATGACTGAAACTACAATCAATGGCCATGAAAGGAAATGTATTATTTTGTGTTATTTTATTTTATTTTATTTTATTTTTTTTAAATTTTATTTCTATTTTTATTTTATTTTATTTCTTTATTTTTATAATTGCTTCTCTGCTGTAACTGAACCCCTTTTGCCCTCTCAGTGCTGCTCCAGGAAGCTGTCAACTTACCTGTGAAAAATATTTGGTTATAGTTTTAAATATTTTGGATCTGAAATTATAAAAACTAAACTTAAATATATCAGGTGTCACTTAGTCAAGTACTGAATGTCACTATTTGTTTACACATATTCAGAGGAGTTGCTTTTTAAGATGTTCCCTGGCTGAGGGATCCTGCTTGGTGCAATACCCCCACCTAGCATCCACTTTCTAGAAGGCAGGGCTGCTGATGGACGTAAAAATACTGCATTTAAAATCTTACTGAGGCTAAGAAAAAAACTAAAGTACAGCATCAAAATAGCATTAAATAAAAACTGAATTGTTGATACATATCTGCAAAACCAAAGCTGATATTCCCTCTTCACTTTCCAGTGAATAGCTGGGTATTTTAGTTTCTGGCTTATGTATGGAGAGGTGGAGACTTCACTGAGTGGCTTTTTCTCTGACATGTTTTTTTTTTTTTTTACAGCGATTCTGACTGTTGAACGGGAAAAAATCTGAGTATTACCTTTCAAAAAAGACCATGTATGTGCATATACTCCAAGAGAATCCTTAAATTTACTTTAGCTATACCTATACCTAGGAATGATAGGAGCCTATCCCAGCTGACATTGGGCGAGAGGTGGGGTACACCCTGGACAGGTCACCAGACTATCACAGGGCTGACACATAGAGACAGACAACCATTCACGCTCACATTCACACCTACACAGAAGGTCCCCACCTGCCTCACACAAGTTTTTCCCAAACGGTTCCAATTATTGTCATGTTCATTTATTCATTTGTTTCTCAATTTATTCACCTACCTTCTGTTGGGCAATACAGTCTGTTGGTTTGTGCCGTCCTCCTAACTGAAGAGGAGATCCAACCTCCTTTCTCACCTCATCCAAAGTTCTTGTAGAAATAAACTCCACAAGGACTGGACCCACAAGATTTGGAGGGGTGTCGGGGCAGGGTCCCAGAGTCGTAGTGGTCGTAGTATTCATAGTATTTGTAGTAGGTGGCATCTGTGTCCCTTCTTGGACTTCATTTGGACCTTCTGTCTTCGGCTGGATGAGCTCATTTATCCACTGGAAAAGTGTGTCATTTTCATTTTCCATCAGTTGTGGCTCTGTAGAATAAATTACAGTGCTGCCGTTGCTGTGGAAAAGAAGCAAAACAACATACGCCACTCTGAGGAAAACAAAAAGCGCCAGGATTTTAAAAAGATTTTTCACCATGTTTGCTGCCTCTGACACTAAGCACTGTCCACTCAATGGCTTGCGTGTAGCTCTGCTACCTGCATTTGAATCAAATGTGCTCCAGACAAAAGAGCAGCCAGAAAGGGTTTATTTGACTGGGTGCAGCTTCCTTGTACACGTTGAGCGTCACACCCACTGATAATTTATGATTATGTTGTTTGTTTGTTATTTATTGAATTTCCCCTTGGGGATGAATAAAGTTATTCTTATGTTTCCCAGAATCTAATGACTGATTCAGCTGAAAGTGCATTGGTGTGTGTCTGTGTATGTATGTATTATAATAGTTCCTTTAATGTGTGTATTATCTATTAAGTACTTTTAGACCAATGTTAATTTACATGAAACAAAACAAAAAAACCAAAGTAATGTACTCAGAGAGAATCACTTAAATATTGGCTAAAAGGTCTTTGAAAAATACAGCATAATTACTACAGTATAGATAAGACCGTATTTTCCATTTATGTGCCACGCATCAAATGCAGAAGGATGACGTTCAGTGTTTTCATTATAATCATCATACCCATCTTTACTTTGTTTGCAGCAGGCACTACGCTTTCACAGATGATTCCAGTGCTGCACTATATCACTGTAAAATAACAGTGGGTAGTTTTAACATGTTTCAAGCTCACATGGGTAAACAAAAGTTGCAGCCACTATACAGACTGATAGAAAACCACAATGTATTAATTACATTTTTACATGCATTTTTACAGGTTTCCCACATTTAGCTCCTGAGAGCGTACTGATAATGTGTCTACAACAACATAACAGCTGCAATACATCCAGAGTGGAATACCAAAATACAGACACTTGCATGTTGTCCATTTGTAAGTAAGTAAGTATAGTTTAATGCTTTCATATATGTTTGAAATGGTTGCCATGTCCTGTAAAATTCACCACCCAGCATACACCTTATTTTCTCCAATTTTAGTAAACTGAGAAGATCTTGAGAAGGTAATCCATGCTTTCATTTCCTCACTGTGAAACAACTGCAACTCACTGTATTCAGGGTTGAGCCAAAAAGCCATCTCACGACTTTTGCTCGTGCAAAATGCAGCTAGAAAACTCAAAACTAAAGGTGAGCAGGCTTTTGCAGTCAAGGCCCCTCAGCTCTGGAACTCCCTGCCAGAGGATTTGAGACGTCTTTCAAATCACTTCTTAAAATGTATCTGTTTTAGCACACTGCTTATTTTATATATGTCTCATTTGATTATTTCTATTGTTTTTATCTTGGGTTGTCATCAGTTATTGTACTCTTTTATTCTGTATTACTCTAATTGTTTGATTTGTTGTACCTCAGCACAATGTATGGGTCAGTTAGTTACCAATCAGTGACGGCATTTTATCTTTAATCTATTTTTTTGTTCTTTGTATTTTCTTTAAATTGCCTCATTTTATTTGCTTGAATTCTTGCTTGTTTTTATCCAGGATCAACCGTGTAAAGCACTTTGTAACTTTGTTTTGAAAAGCGCTTTATAAATCTTTATTATTATTATTATTATATTATTATAAGATCACCAGCCCACTGGACATGTGTGGGAGGCACCTTATGCTTCCACTTCATAAGTATGAGTCGTCTAGCAATTAAAGAGGCAAAGGTAACAGCATTGGAATAGTGTCTAGGAAGAATAGTGTCTAGGAAGAGGTATGTTCTCTGGAACTACTCTGAAAATTGCAGTTACTGGGGAAGGGGTAAATTTGACTCTGAAAACCTCAGAAAATGTATTAAATATCCAATAGTCCAATAATTATTAAGATTTGGACAAGTCCAGGAAGTATGAATGAGGCATCCTGTTACTGTTCTTATCTTCTTTATCCCAGGATAAATCTTAGTGGACTTTTCTTCGGATAGATGAAGGCGGTGCAACACCTTGAATTGTAGGAGGCATCCAGACACTCTATAAACCGACAAAATAATATGCCAGGAACAAGGATCCCAAATGTGTTTGAGTTTGGATTTGGGTGTCTACATTTTATAAACACTCAGCTGACTAATAGACAAAACGCTGCTCTGTTTTAGTGTCAGGAAATAAACAGAGCATGCAGTATGGAAATACATGGCGTTCATGTGACATCACCATGCAAACTTCCCACTGAAAACAAAGCAGCCAGTGTAAAAGTCATGTGACCGTGTCACCCATAACTGATAAATAGAGATAACATTCATCTGAAAGCAGAAACTATTTCAACTGATACAAACACTATCAGATACAGTACTGCTGTTGGAACTGGCCGGATGTGTGTGTCCAGAACAGGACATATGAGTGAGAGGAAATGGTTGTCTTATTCCTTAAATAACTGACTGGTTAAAAAAGTATGCAACAACTTGGAGCAAATAAGTCTGACATACTATTGCACTCTGTGACGTATAATATTCGTGTCAGCAGTGCTTTTAAACAATAACAAAGGCACAACATGACCATGTCTGTGCGTATACTTAAATTTACTTTGGGTATGCCTTAAATAGGCATGTTAGGTAAAGTTCATGGGGATGACAGGAGCCTATCTCAGCTGATATTAGGCGAGAGGCGGGGTACACCCTAGAAAGGTTGCCGGACTATCATAGGGTTGACACATAGAGACAGACAACCATTCATACTCACATTCACACCTTGGGGCAATTTAAAGTCACTAATTTACCCGGTCTGCATGTCTCTGGACTGGAAGCCGGAGGACCCGGAGAAAGGGGGCCTCACAATCCCCCACTGAATGCTTCATTCTAGTAGAACCCTCTTAAGCCCTTTTTACATAGAGATCAAGCCACTATGAAGTCCCTTCGTTGTCCCTCATTTGCATTTTTACACAGAACCAAACAACGGCAGCATAATCCTGCTCCAGTGTGTGATATTGAATAGCAGTTGCTTCTAGTGTGACATACACTGATCGGCCAAAACATGTCAGGTGGTATCAACATGGTATCAACATGAATGCCAGGACTAAATGTTTCCCAGCAGAACAATGCATTGGAACAAAATAATCAAAGTTATTCACTTCACCTGTCACTGGTTTTAATGTTTTGGCTGATCGGTGTATAATATAGCATATCTATAGGCAACGTTTTTTATAAGCAATAACAAAGGCATAACATGACACTAACAGTCATTCACTTTCTCTGTTGTGCGGCAGCTGATCTTGACCTTTGCTCTGCGGGTTAAGAGCTCCCGGACCTCATTGTTTTCCCAATTTGCAGACATTTTCACCCTCAGTCCTACCTCTTTGAGTTAGCCGCTAACTGCTAACAGCTGCTTTTTTTAATCTCACATGCACACAAAACGTCACACCCGTCCTGTCCATGGTCTTGTCCCGCCACCTGTCCTGTTTATACAGACACCATTTCACCTCCCTTGGCGGCTTAAAGGTAATAGAATGGTGAGGCAGCATGCAGCGCCATATTCGCGCCTTGAGCAGGCAGTGTTAAAGGGGCTTTAGCTTTTGATTCGCAGAGTGGATCTTTAGAAAGCTATGCAGCGGAAAACAAATCAATATCTTAACAACAGCTTTGGCATAAAATCAAACAGCAGATTTTTTGGACCACGTACTTTAAGTGATACATAAATGTGTTTTTCATTTAGTTATAGTCTATCTTTGTCATTTTGGCATGTTGCTTGAAAGGGTTAAACATCCACAGCCGTTTGCTGAGTTCATTGTTCTGTTACAAGTAGAGTTCCACATAATCCACAGGTGTAATGAATACAATTAAGCTGCAGTTAATTACAACTTAAGATTCACTCAGGAATGCCAAGGACTGCATGATTCATCCTGCAATTATCATACACTACACTTATGAAGTCAATACAACCAAATGTGCAGCAGGTTATTTTTATACCTGACAAAAAGTGACACCTTGTGGCAGTTGTGTCATTTTAGCAAGACACAACTGCTGCGTTTACAGGGTAAGACCAATTAAATTAAGAACTCCAGTATGTTATTTCTATCACCCAAGGAAGTTCAATAGATATTTGTGAACATGAGCTACTCTCTGTCAAAGCCACAAACCAGAGAAGCATGTCTCAAATTTGTGAAGTCATAGGGTATAAAGTCTGGAGCTGCTTCATAGAGAATGAATTGGAGACTGATTTTGTGAAGCCATAGAAGATTTTTTTAATTATACCCAAATGAGCTTGATTGCACTGTGGTGCTCTCAGTTCATCAGTGTCATCTATAACATCTCTAACAATTCTTGGTAGCTCAGCCCTGGACTTTGCACATGATGAGTAACATTACAGTCTTGATTTTTAAGTTTTAACCACTGGTTTTTACCTTCTTTCATTTCTCCTGTACATTTTTATCCTATTTTATTTATTTATTTATTTACTCTCAAATCGAACAAATCAGATTCTTCCATGAGAATTTCCCCCCAGGTTCGCAAATTAGCAGTTGAGATCTTTTACATATTATCCCAACCTTCGTCTGAAATTTCTACACTGAGTTCTTTCTCCCATTTCACCCTGATATATTTGGTTGAATGTTTGTCATTTGTGTTCAGTCCTTGATATAATACCGAAATTATTCTTATGTTTTCCTGATATGCTTTAATTATGATTTGGAAGAATCTGATTCAATTTCCATTTTGTAATAGTCCCTTAATTGAAGGTATCTACTGTATAAAAATTATGCCCAATTGTTCCCAATTCGTATTTTCCTCAGCTAGTATTCCCATGCTCTACAGATGACACCCAGCAGCTATTGTATTTATATAAGCTGTGGCTTTAAGCAGTGTTGCTGACACTGTTGTGGGAGGACGGGGTTAAAAAATAAGCAAATGAACCCACATTCCCAAACATTTTCCCAGGACTTTGATGGAGATGTTCCTTTGTCCCCTATTTGCCTGTGTAAACCATTTAGTACTGTTCGTCTCGGTTTCCACAGGGACTCCTTTTTGTTTTCATTGCTTCACTTAGGCGATACACATGGTTAATATGTTGATGTTGGCGCTCAGCTGTGGTTGAGTTCTCAGGGGTGAAAAATAGCCTGAAATG